CTATTACTACTGCTGCTGCTACTGCTGCTGCTACTATTACTACTGCTATTACTGCTGCTGCTGCTACTGCCACTACTATTATTACTACTGCTGTTGCTGCTACTACTGCCACTACTACTATACTACTGCTGTTGCTGCTACTACTGCTGCTGTTGCTACTATTACTACTGCTACTGTTACTGCTGCTGCTACTACTATTACTACTTATGTGGCTGCTACTATTACTACTACTGCTGTGGCTGCTACTACTACTATTACTACTATTACTGCTGCTGCTACTATTACTACTGCTGCAGCTGCTACTATTACTACTGCTCCTGTGGCTACTGCTGCTAATACTACTATTACTACTACTGCTGCTATTACTATACTATTGCTGCTGCTGTTACTACTACTGCTGCTGCTACTATTACTGCTGCTTCTGCTACTACTGCTGCTGCTGCTGCTGCTACTATTACTATTACTGTTGTTGCTGCTGTTACTACTACTACTATTCCAAAAGTATGGGATGACTGTATGAGATGAGAACTAGATGCAGGCTGTGTAGCTACAATATTTGAAGGGATGCAGTCTCTTGTTTCAGCCCCACCCCTAAATGGGATCATATCCTTTGTCAGATTTCTCAAGGGCTAGAATTGTGCCTTCCCTTCCATACTCTTGCATATGATATGTCTCTGTTCTCAATATGTTTTTAATGACTCTGTACAGGCCAAAAGCTTATTAATTTCTACTTGGTCTTGGAACATGGTGGGAATTATTCTGCCAAAGTTGGTTCCATAATCTGGGGAGTGGGCTAAGACCCAGAGCTAGTGGTAAGTGGGACATAGTTTTGAGTTTTTAGTAATGATCCAGAAATGTTTAGTTATTCCTCTGATCTATCCCATTCTTAGCGTACTTCTTCTGGATAAAGAAAATAGGCAATTGCAGGAAACCACTTTCCGTCTTACACAGCAGGTCGGCCTCTTAGAGCATATCATAAGGAGCATCCGGATTCACAGAGAGGTAAGATGCATGCTTCTGTCGTGTCCTTCATATGAAGCCTAGTTGCCAAGGTTATTGTGTTCTCTCTTCATCTTCGTGTAGCTGTAGGCTGCACTTGGCTTCATGGTGGCCTGTGGCAAAGAAGCTCATTGGCTGCACCAGAGCAGCAGACCCTGAGACTGCTCTTGGCCAGCTTTGCTCTTCATTGGGTCAGTTTGGGACCCAGACTCACGACCCTGAGATCAAGTGGGGCCCGAACTCATGACCCTGAGAATAAGACCCGAGCCGAGATCAAGAGTAGGACGCCCAACCAACTGAGCCACCCAGGCACTCCTGGGTCAGCTTTTAGTAGACACTCTCCTCCTATGTGATCCCAAAGAGATTGTGCATGCCTCATAGCTTCTTTAACACTGTATCACTATTGTCTTTTTGTATTGTCTATTCTGTATCTCAACTCAGCAGTGAGATCCTGGAGGGCGAAGATTGTATTTCATATGTCATTTTTTCTACAGACAGGTGCTCCATAAATATTTGAGAATGAATATTAAATGCTTTCACATGTATACCTCATTCTCAACCCTGTTTGCCATGGATTATTCTAGCCCTGTCTGAGAAATGAGCAAATCTGAGGCTCAAAGAGGTAAATGAAGATAGTCGGTCTGGCATGGGGTCAAGCCTAAGGAGAACAAAAGAGTCAGAGAAAAAGCAATTAAGTTACAAAAATCCAAGCAGACAAGTAGCCAAGTCTAGATAGATGTGCCAAATAGTATAGATTCAGAGAAGGTCCAGAGTCTGGCTGGTGAATGTGTCAGTGAGAGGGACTTCAGTGATCAGAGGTGCATTCTGAATCCAGGATAGAGGCTTCTTGCTTTCTCTCCTGGCTTGTATCACCTGCTAGATGTTTCCTTCCAGGATACTTCATGTAGATCCTGCTTGTTAGGTACTATTGCTATGAGCATAAGACCCACATCTGGTTTGCTCTCAGAAAGGTGATTATTTCTGGAGTGCCTGGATGGCTCAGTCAGTCAGGTGTCCAACTCTTGATTTTGACTCAGGTCATGGTCTCGGGGTTCTGGGATCAAGCCCCGTGTTGGGCTCTGCACTCAGCACAGAATCTGCTTGGGATTCTTTCTCACCCTCTCACTCTGCCCTTCCCCCAACTCATGCATACACTTTTCTCTCTCAAATAAATAAATAAAATCTTTAAAAAAAAAAAAAAAGAAAGGTGAGGGGTCCCTGGGTGGCTCAGTCGGTTAAGCGTCTGCCTTTGGCTCAGGTCATGATCCCAAGGTCCTGGGATCAAGCCCTGCATTGGGCTCCCTGCTCAGTGGGGAGTCCGCTTTTCCCTCTCCCTCTGCCTGCTGCTCTGCCCACTTTTGCTCTCTCTGTATCTCTCTGTCAAATAAATAAATAAAATCTTGAAAGAAAGAAAGAAAGAAAGAAAGAAAGAAAGAAAGAAAGAAAGAA